GTTTCCCTGCAACCCAGGGAGGGCCCCCCGCCATTTTGTTTTCTTTTTTTTTTTTTTTTTTTTTTTTTTTTTTTTTGCCCTGTATATTCTGTACAATGGCAGCTGGAAAGGACAAGCTTTTTATTGTAGTCTTGCCATCTAGAAACCACTTGCTGCATTCTCGTTGGTTGTGCAGGAGGCTCCACTTCTGCTTTTCAAAGATGTACAGTTTTCACATGCGAGTGTAAACATTACGTTGAAGGGTGTGGCCAGCGAATTTTTTTTGGATTTAAAGAGACAAGACACCCTAAAACATCCCAGTTTGAAAGGGCTCAAAATAATCAGAACTGACAAAAAAGCTAGAAAAATTGTCTACTTCTTCATTATTATTTCACTTGTTGTGCTTTTTACCCCCGTATCATTCCAAAAGAAAATCCTCAAAGTATTACAGAGAGTCGGCATTCAATAAAATGCTCCAGTTTTATCCTGGAGTTTTATGAAAGCCTCATTGTTTTGTTGTCTAACCGCTTCAGGACGTATCAATAAACAGTTTGATGGAGTTGGTCTTCTCAAAGATTAAAAAAAAGCATCATTGAATCAACACGTCTAAAATAGTTGCAGCACAAAGTCATCATTGAGGCCTTCATGAATGGAGGATGTATTGCTGTATTATTCTACTGTAATGCTCTGAACTGGTTTAATTGGTGCCGACACGCCGTGTTTGTGTTTACATGAAAGAGCCAATACTGGACGGATTTACTGGAACAGGGTTCTACACAAAATATTCATGATTTGCTGTATGTTTCTACTCACAGGCCTCACTGTGTGTGGTGTTCAGCTTGAACTCGTTTCTCCTGTAAGTCTGCTATGATTGGTCACAGGCTGCGCTGCAGGAAGCTGCTGATTTAGTCCTGTTTTTATTTTATTTTTCAAGTTGTTCATTGGAAATAGCTTGATTGGTGCCTTCACAAATATTTTTGTGTTATTTGCACAACTGAGCCTATGAATTATGACTGAGGTCTTCAGTACCTGCTGCCTTGATGCAGTGATAATCGCAGCAACACGTATTTCAAAGAAGTTCTCCAATGCCACTTTCAGTTTTTTCTCTGGTTTCTTGAGTCGACTGTGGCTAAATTTGTTTGTGTCTGCCTTGTAGTTTGGGATTCTTTGTTGTTTTGCAGCCATTTGTATCGCAGTCTACAGGGAACAAAGATAAGAAACCAAAAGGTTTCAGGCAATTTAAGAGCAGTGTCCAATATGAAAGACAATGATTTGTTTTGCTGTTCGGTGTTTGTGATGTTGCAGAGACTTGCATGCACCAGGATCTGTCGCTGCTTCGTGTGTTTTTTTATTACTCCCTCTTATTGATTCATCTGTTTGGTATTCACTGCAAACATGGATCTGTAACCAGGTGCTCCAGAAATGCTCACTCCTATTAGGGGGGAGCAGGTTGGAAAATAAGTTAGAGAAATGATTGACGTTTCAACCACAGGACGAATGCCTCTCCCTGCGAATGAAGTGGGATGCCTTAGTTATGCCTTCCTCATTTACAAAGCTGTTTTCAGCCTTTTTTTTAAAGGCAGGAAAGCTTTATTGTATCACCGTGTTTCGGTGCCAGAGAGAAAAACAAATTAGTGTGTGAAACTGCTCTTTATTTGGCTGTGTGCTCTCTCCTGAGGGGACTGGCCCGTCGCTCTGCCTCAAAATGTGGAGAAACAACTGATTGCGAGGCACGCGACGTGCTTTGGAATAAGAGGATATGATCGGGAGAGTTGAGTTATTAATGGTGATGTCGAGCCAGTGAGATCAGCCGCCTCAGGCCACAGCTGTGCGTGTGCATGCGTGTGGAAATTAAAGTTAAAAAGCCTTGTGTTCGGTCCAGTTTAAACTCTTGAATCTGTCTCTGAATGTCCTGTTTCTCTCTGGCAGGTATGCCTGTGGCTGTCGGTGTGTCTCCGGACACGTAATCGGGCGCGTTCCTGCTGTCATGGCCTCCACAACCACGCGGCTCCTTCTCGTCACAGTGATCTCTGTTCTGGCGGAGTTCGTCATCTCATCAGAGGATCATAAGTGGCACTTTGATCCAAGTAAGTAAAGTCAAAATATTACCAGAATGAAGTAGAAATTTTATGAGAACTCCAACACAAAAAATAACCAAAAATTAAAATGAAAAATGTGGACTTGATACAGAAATACTTGAACACTTCAGCATCAAATTATTATCATTAGCAGGACTTTAAAATGAAATGCAAACAACTGTCTGTTTTGAAGAAAGAATCAAAGCTGCTCAAATCACGTCCTGATCACACTGAATTAAAACTATTCTTTTCATTTTAAGATGTTTTTTCTAGTATTATTCTCTTGTAATCAGTCACGCCTGCAGTTGTACGGCAGTATGCACTGTGCATACCTCGAGATTTTCCTTTGAGTAAACAAAAGAAATATTGTAGCTATTGTACTTTTTATTGTGCTTTCCTTTTGCTATTCAAAAAATTGCAGAATAACATAAAAATACTCTTTTGTGTCAAAATATCTTAAGTGTAGCCCACATCTGCGTGCGTCTGTGGGAGTGGGCACACGTCCGTCCTACACCTAAATGTTATTGGTCAGTTTACTTTTATTTGGAGGCTTGCTGCTCTTTCTGTAAGTTAAATGTGAGACACAGTTTTAAGAACCCCACCAGAACTTCTTATCCTGTGTGGGGCCCACCTGCAATTTTTCAAGTTTATTTTAGTTCGTTTGGGAACTAAAGCGCCGACGGGACACCCCATCACTTCTCCATGACACCTGCCGCGCCTGCCGCGCACTTCACCAACAGTACACTGTACTGGGAGAGTTAAATAGTAAAATCTAGTCAAAACGTTTGCTTAATTTCTACTCTTTTTGACAAACATTGTCGCTTCACATCCTCATAAGCAAAGCCTACCTAACGGCTTTTCTGTCTTTTTGACTTAATGTAATTTGTCATAAAAAAAAGTAGGCTATGCAGGCATAAGTGTGTATGTGTGTTGCGTTATGTGGATCAGATCTGCTGTTTCTGGTGCATCCTATCCCTGTATCATATTTGTGTGGGTTGTGTCCATAGTTTTGTGCAAACCCTCTAATATGCTGCAGGCATCCCTGCTGCTTCTAATTAAACAAAAACTCTCATAGTCTGGTGATGATGCTTCGTCGTTCAACTCTGAGAAGGGATGGTTGAAATAAAAGCCAATTTTTTTATATATTTTGTTAATATTTTTAAGCAAAAACCAAAACAAAAAACCTGATTTGGCCTGAAACAAATGAGATTTTGTTTGTAAACCTTGTAGCTCAGCCGTAGTCGGGACGTCTCCAGCTAGATTTTTATTTTCTACAAACCTAAACCTGTTTGCATCTCCTTCTCCTCGTTGCCCCGTATTTCACGGGATCACCAGGCGTCTACTCTGACATTCTCCTCACACTCTGAGATCCGAACGGCTCGTTCTCCGTTCACCATCAACAGGCTATCCTGTGTCCTCTCCCTGTCTGCCAGCCAGTCGTCTGTAATAGGAGACCGAGATAGGCAGCAGCCCCCTGCGTCGCCTCCACGTACACCTCCGACCCGTCAGGATCGCTAATGCACAGGCACTTCATGAAAGTGTCAGTCAAAGTGTCGGGAGGGAGGCATCAGAGGAGGCGGTGAATGTGAGCCAACCAGGGGAAACTGGAGACTTGTTTGCAGTGCAGGCAACCATCTCACTGCAGAGGCTAAAACTGTGAATCGGATTAAGTGGCAGATTAATTTAGAGAGTAAAAAGTAAAAGTGACTAAAGTGTTGAGACATGTTATATGGATGCTATAAACCAGAGGAAAATTACTGCTCGAGGTCAGAGTTCTTTAAGTGAAATAAATTTTTGAGCTTTACGTCATGTTATAATGTTATTCCCTCTTCAAAACATACCTTGATTCTTCCGTACATGTTTGAGAAATCCTTTAATCTCCATGGCAACCATTCAGCCATGCTCTTTCTGTAAGTTGGTGTCAAACTCCAGTCCTCAAGGACCGGTGTCCTGCAACTTTTAGATGTTCCTCTGCAATTTCAAAACTTTAAATTACAAAGTTGCATTTCTTTTAAGTCATTTTTAGTATATATAAAATTGTTATTACTGAAGGTAACATAGTTAGTTGATTTTGATATTAAATGGCACTATGTGCCTGGAAAATACATAATACTGCCTCTTTATAGGAGAAACGTTGTTGAGATGACTTCCTGGAGGTGGACTATCACAAAGATCAGGAGCTTCTTGAAGAGACAGAGGCCAATTTTAAGACATCAAATTACGAAGTCAAATTTCTTGGAAGTTGTTTGATATGTACAACATTTTTATAACAACTGGAGGGAACATGGTTACTTTATTATGCTATAAAATGGCACAAGAGGTCTAGAAAATGCATAATACTTTCCTTTTAAAGCTCATTTTAAGTCTACTGGACCTGTTTAGTATTACTGCATTTAATATCTACCACTTTAAAGCTTTTAGCTTGATTTTTAAGCTTACCTTTCTAAATCAATTATTCCTAAACAGGTTATTTTTTTAAATAGCGTCACAGAACAAAGTGATCTAATCAACATGTCGCCTCTAAAGGTGTTTTTATTCACAGACCTGCTCCATAGTTGGGTCATCAGATGTTGGTAAAGGACAAAGTCAGCTGCAGGCCTGAATCTCTCTTGACATCCAGCCAGCTTGTTTTTTTTTTTATGTATATTTCCACTCACCTCTACTGCCAGACTAGTTGCTGATGTTGAAGAAGATTCCCAATCTGTAACTCTGTGTCCTCAGAGGCTGAGAAATTTACAGCTGAAGACTGAGTCAGAATTAAGCAGACATGGTTATATTTCTTCTCCATGTGTCCAATGTCACTGGAATCCGGTTATTTTTGCTTCTTCTTGACTAATGTTCTGTTTCTCCTCTGCTTTTTTTCTCTCTGCTGACAAGAAAAAGTTTGCAACTGTACAAAAGCAGCTATGTTGTTGTTTTTGATAAATTTGGCTCGCATAATTTAGAGATGCACTAATCAGGGAAGGTCTTTGCTGATTTCCAATCAGACATTTTGTGAAGTTGAACTGCTGACACTGATTTGAGTTTATTTTGATTCGTCCGTCAGAACCGTAAATACCAGCAAAGTAATTTTAGAACTTTCTGGATGAACTGAAACTGCATCATCTTCACAGCGAAATGTTTACGGTACAATGAAATGATAATTTTCTCAAAAATAGCCCAGACTTACAAAACTGTTTCTCTCTGCATCACTAAGAATCAATAAAATCTTCAAATACACGAAATGTCCTCCTGGGGGTAGTGATGCAGAAAAACACAAAAACAAAAAAATTGAAGTATCATTTGCTTCTTTGTACGAGAGAGTTCAGCTCAATGTTTGTCAGAAGATTCAAAGTCATATGATACAAATTCTCCCCACAAGGTAATTTCAGAACAAATTTATATGTTAAAGGAAATCCCTCTGATTTACTGCTGGATGTGCTAATAAATTAATTAAATTATCTATTGTAACTACATGAGCCTTAAGAAGCCTCACTGCGACAGATAAGTATTATATTAGATTTAAAGGTGACACTTTATTTGAAGGGGAGGGCATAACACTGACATGACATTGTCATAAGTATGACGTTATGATGTGACGTTTCACCAGAAGTTGCATTAAGTCCATTAAAAGTGTAAACTTTACATTATATGGTCAATAATGACCCTTTTAATGCAAAGTTCTAAACATTTGCATAAAAAGTCACTTAAGTGTCGTTATTTACCAAATAACACTTCATGACTGTCATAAACGGACTCCTTCATGTTCATGACATATGTTATATTTTATGACGATGTCATGTCGGTCTTATGCACCACTTCAAATAAAGTGTTACAGACTTAAATATGCATAACCTTTGACCTTACCCTCTACCTTTTTCAGCAAGTTATTGTTTTTTGTCGTATTGTACATCTACCAAAATAAAACTAATCTGAATTATTTACATCAGGACCAGAGGTGATGTCACACCATGTGAGAGACGAAGAGAAGCGAATTTTAAAAATATGCAGCTACACAGTTTCACCGTTATTTCAAAGCGAATAAAACATGACTCATGGTCAACATCCCCAGTTGTTGAGAGGATTCAAAGCAACACCACTGCTGCTTTCTGAATCAGTTTCTTTGCTAACCTCACTCCTTGTGTTTTATGCCTTCTGAAATGATTCTCTGCGACTCGTTTCTTTCTCCGTAGGAGGAACTCCCTGCATTGTCAGCATTTATTTATGTGAGAATCTGTCAGAGTTTTCACCTCCGGCTGCTTTTGTGAAAAATTATGCAACGAATAGCCCTGACTTGCAGATGGGACCAAGCCTCCCTGTCTACGATGACACCTGATTTATCTTGGGATGATTCTCGATGGCTGGCCCTTCTCCAGGCCATCTGGCTTTGTAAAACCGTCCTCTTTTTTTTTTTTTTACTTACATGGAGTAGCAGAGGTTTTTTTTTTAGGAGAAAATGTGGAAAATCTGGTCTGGTCTTATTCTTTAGTTGCTGTTTACATGTGAAGCTCACAGCAGGAGACTTTCTGCTGGAGATGCAATTTCACAGCTGGAAAAGCAGCACACAGGTCAGCAGAAAAAGCAAAGTAAAGCAGCATATTGCACGGTCTTGTTCGCTCAAGCATTATAATATTCCCAGTAGAAAATTATTGACAAACAAGATATATTATTAGAATGCACAACAAATCAATTCATCAGAGCATTTTACACAGTTGCTGTTAGATGTCCGGTACTGAGCTGTCTGCAGAGATGATTTGGAAAATGAAATGCCTCATTAAGTCACGGACTCACCCCGGGATCGTCCACTGATTTTACTGGACAGCTGAGAGCGTAAAGCAAATGTTGCAGACATTCGCTCGTAAATGCAGTCAGTTGTTTCCGTTGTAAACCGCATCACTGGCGTTTTGTTTCATTTACTGATTACTTTGCTTCAGAATCAATGGGGTTGGAATTAAAATCTTAACAAAAAAACTGTCACAGACGAAATAAAGAAGAAATAATAGTAAACGATAATCAAACGTAAAACTTTCATATTCACTTCGAAAAGGAGTAGAAAGAAGCCAGTGCTTATTAAATCTTACCTTCAATTGACTTTCAGTCTAGAATATAGAAATTTTCAGTCTAGAATATAGAATCCCAAGTTATAAATATTTACACAAATCATTTGCTAGAATAAAAGACATTTATGTTAAATATGTGAGATATCTTCTCTTGCAGTAAGCTATCCATTTCACTGACGGTCATGCTCAGTCTGTAAAACAGAGTGACAGGTGATTCTCCTCTGGTAGTCAAACCATGACTGACTTTGTTTTTCGCTCATCATTTCTCAGTGAAGGGTGGAAAAGTTTAGGGAAATTCCTCTTTCAGCTGCCAAGGTAATCCTACACTGCAGGAATGGTTCGCTTAGTCTTATTGTCTGTTAAACCTTTTAGATCGCGATATACCTTAAAGCCATAAATATTAACACAGTAGTTTTATGGTGTTTTCACTTTTTACTGTCCGATAGACTCTGTTCGATTAGGGATAAAGGATTTGATGCATTTTCAGCTGCCTTAGTCCTCCACACTGCACAGTGTAAAACAATCAGAACTTTTGAAAAACTGCTGTTCCCTTCCTCACCTGTGGTGGCGCTGCACCAAGAACTACTGAAGGAAGCAACACAAACCTCCACAGAAGACATGAGCGCAACTTCATCTTCACAAAATGTAAACAAAAACTGAGTAGGATTTCTGTTTTTGTCTTTCATAAAAATAAAAAAACTAAAAAAAAACCACGAGTCATTTCTCCCTTTAGCTTTAGATTCACACATTTGTTTTGGTTGTATTTACCCAGAATGCCGTGTGCTTTAATCTGCTTCCTGCTTTTGGAGGGGTCTGTGGCTCGGTTGGCAACAGAACCGAGACGTGGGATTTTAGGCAGACCAGAGTTCGCTTTTTTGGCTTGATTGAGCCAAAAATCAAGCCAAACAGAGTTTGATTAAAGCGGACTAAACAGGGCTGGTGTGAAGGTAGCCTTAGCGTAAAGGCAGACTTTAGCTAGCTAAACATAAATGCTGAATAAAACTCGTTAACTTTTACTAAGTACATTAATAGAAGTTTACATTAGGGCTGGACAATAATTCAATTACAATATATATTGTGATATTAATAGCTAATATGTCTGATAAAATGTTAATTTTACTAAACTGATTCAGAAACGCACAGCATTCTGGGGGATGTAGCCAAAGGAAAGGCTTTAGCTGCTCTACCTTTTTCTGCCAGCTAAGCTAATTTGGTGGCATCAACTAACTCACTTTTTTGTTACCTAGCAACAACTTGAGTAACATGGTTACCTAGCAACAACATACTGAGTAACTGTCGCAGCAGCAGTTTAAGGTTTACCAACTCTAAAACAATAATGTGGAGAAAAAACTGTGGATAAAACTGGAAAGGTCACATAAAAAACTGGCAGTAATTCAAATATTATAAACAAAAAAGCTAATAAATATTGACCAGTATCGACTGGTATGAAACCCTTTTTCAGTCAGCTCGTCCAGTTTGTTTACAGATTTACATTCAGCAGCAGGTTTGACTTGCCGTCTCGGCTGTGGCTGCACTACAGCAATAAAATATAAGCTGAAACGTTTCGTCTAGCAGATCAAGCTGAGGTGAAATTTCTGAAATATTTATTGCACGGGTTAAATTCACAGAGCCTGAAGGTGACCTCCTACGTTACAAAGGGAGGTGGAGAAGTGAAAAGAATGCAGACTGCTGGCTGCAGAGCGTCAGCGCGGAGTGACGATGACGATGATGTAATGAAACGGGCACCTGTCCCCAGGGTGTGGATGAACTGCGCGAGGCCCCTGTCACTCGCTGGGGTTTTGGGGTTTGTCATGGAGCCCAGCATTCCTGTTGAGTGACTCAGTGACAGAAAGTGAGTTAGACGCCTTCCCCACCCCCTCCATGTCGCCGCCGTTGCCCCCTCCATCCACCCCGTGGCTGACCAAACACCCCTCACCTCCACCTATGATGACTTCAGAGCAGATACTTGGCTGTTTGGGTAATCCCTGCCTGGGACCAAGCTATCTGGATTGTTTGATAAAGCTGCCTCTGGAACAGAGTCGGGGCAGACATTTGAGACCCGTCTGTGTTTTTCTTTTTCTTTTTTTTTTCCCCCCTCTTTGCTGTCAGTTTCTTTCTCTTCCTGCAAATCTCAGAGCGCTGGTAACTGGAGCTGTGCAGGATAGCTGGAGCCCTGAGGTAGCTGCTTTGTGTGGGACAGAGATAGTTGGAAAAAACAAAAAAATGACAGACAGGAAAGGTGTAATCTGAGACATCTTTCCTGTCTCCAAAGGGGGGCATAAAACTCCATAGCTTACTCGTATATAAATTGAAGTAATGGAAACTAAAGATGCGCCTATCACGAGTTTGCGGTGACACGCAAAACCGACTTTAGCACATCACTGCTTCTCTCAGAACTGTAAAACTAGCTATAAAAATAGATGCAACAGAAATTAAAATATTTTCTTCTTCAATTATTTCTGACAGCTTTCATCCTTTAAAACACTGATCCCAAACCTAAAACCAAAACTAGAACAAGAATAGAGGCTAAGTTTACGTTCACACAGCAGGCAAATGCAACTCAAACCCACTTTTTGTTTTTTGCTAAAATGTGGCCTAGAAAGCAACAGAGAGGCTTTTGTTAATGTGACCGTCTTCTACGACTTTATAGTTTTTGTGTCTTTATCATGCAGAGCTCTTTGCACTGCCTTGTTGCTGGAATGTGTCGTACTAATAAACTGGACTACATCTGACTTTTCACTTCAGTCTGAATCAGGTCTGAGCCTCTTCCATATTTGGAACTAAATCAGATTTGCATCAAATTGCTTTCAAAGCGTCTGCAGTCTGAACAGTCATGTGACATTTTAACCGAAGGAAATAATGGCTGAAAATTATGATTATGAACTTATGAAGGAAGCCGGTCAGTGAAGCGCGTCACACCAGTCAGAAGCTGGCGCTAATGCTCCATTAATACAAAAGGCCATTTCTATTAGTTGTGCTTTCTTCGTGTTTTGATCTTGTTGGCTGAATGGACTTTAAAACTGATCCATAAACGTCTCCATCTTTCGTAAACAAATTGCTGCTCTGTGACGTTAACGTTCATCAGGTACATAAAATGTTCACACATAAGTCTGATTGGGGTTTAATTAGCAGAATGAACAACGAGGCACAAAAACTTTATATTTTCAGCAAAAAATCAGAATACAGGATCCAGACCTGCTGTGTGAACGTGGACTCAGGGTGACGGGGTCTGTGGCTCCTAACCTGTGGAACATGTTTTCATTTTGCTGACTAAATGTTTTAAAAACGGCTGAAAAACGTTTTGTTCTTCCAGGCTTTTCATTGTTTTTATGCAATGCATAACTAAAATGTGATTTATATGCGTGCAGTGCTTTGTGGCTTTGCATGGTGTTTTATCAATAAGCTTTCTTACTTACAACTCAGAAATGATTTACACTCGCAGCAGAGATTATGTCTTTCAGCTGCGTGATAGTTGTCAGGTCTTTTTTTTATGAAGGGATTTACTATTATTTTAAAACAAAGATAAAAAGATTTCACATTTTAAACCATTTTCAGTCTCTTATTTTTAATAGTTTTCCATTTGGATGTCCTAAAGAACATAAATCCTTCCTTTAGCTGTCTTGCAAAGGGTTGGCACATTTTCAAATGCAAAAGCTGGAAACTCTAAAACAAACAGAAGTAGTTCTCCATCTAACCTTCTTATTATCCGTTTAAATTCTTGTTCTCTCACAACCTGAATAACCTACAAATGTCTCAACTAAATGATCTTTAAAATGAAGCACAGAAAAGTAAATTTTTTATTTTTTATTTTTTAAACCACTGACTCTGATGCTGGAAGCAAATATCAAATCTCTCAATAATAGCATCCACACTGAAGAGTGTTGATTCAACTCGGAGTATACAATGTGGTCTGTTTTCTGTTCAGGCTTTTGATCATTTTTCTAAATAGCTGGTCCGATCAAAACCCGGACTGATTCTCATCACAAGATGATTTCTTGGTGGCTCTTCTGAAACTAGTTTTTCCACAAAGCATCTAAAAGAAAAAAGATTTCTAAAAAAAAAAAGATACTGTTGCTGTTTTTATTTGACGTATAGTTGAAACAAATCTGACTTAAAACATTTGTGACCTTTGTTCATTCATTAGAGCTAATTTTTTAAACTAACTCTTTGAGGTACAAAGTCCATCTGCACAAACTACAGGAAACCTGTAATATTTATGAATGTTTGACCCAAACATGTTCAGAAACTCGGACTAGATGTTGGTGTGTCTGGAGAAAAACCTTTGCAGAGATGGAAATATTGAAACTAAGCCCAGCTCTCGTCACAATCTGAGTTTTGTTGCTGAATTCTGTGAAGGAAATAAAATGATTTTTTTTATGGGCTGCGGCTTAATTTAATCTTGAAACCCCTCAACACTGCAGCAGATATGGGAATTAAATGTCAACCGAGTTCATAATGTATCTGGAAAGTGTGACTTTTGTGTTTTGTGTAGCAAACGACAGCTAAAGGAGCCGTCTCCTGCAACTCTCCCTGCACTCGCCGTCTGTTTTGGCTACGATGCATCAAGCCCGGATGTTTTCCCAGAGATGACATAACAATGTTGCGCTCCGTGACGAATGATGGCCCCTGACAACTCCAGTGAAAATATTAAGTTTCTTCTGGACAGATGAGAGTTTTGCTCATATCTTCATCCCGTGTCTGTCTTCTCTGCTTCCCTCGATCCTTCCCCTTCCAGCTCAGTGTCGCTACGCCCTGGGGATGGAGGATGGCACCATCCCAGACTCTGACATCACCGCCTCCAGCGCCTGGTCCGACTCCACAGAGGCCAAACATGGAAGGTGGGAAAATGTTTTAGTTTGTACGTGAGGGTGGCGGGTGAACATTGCAGATGAAATTACTGTTTTTGGAGAGGTAATTTTCCATTTGCACAAAGGTTTTGCAACAATTCTGCAACTTTCAGTCATTTAAGCATCAATAGCCTTAGTAAGCTGCGAAGACGCACCATCTGCTTGGCTGTGCAACACAAGTTTTGCCATTAGGATCAGTTCATGAGGGTACAGGCCAGGTTGCAGGATGCCTGCTGCGGTGAATTATGGGACCACCCAGACTGCACACAGTGATTAAACACTGGGGCTGTAATGGTACATGTAGTTTTCCTGAACCATCACAGTGCAGACAGCGCGTGTGCAAGCAGTCAAACGAGGAATTTGTTAGTCACAGGAGATCACTATTCTTATTCAGAACGTGTGTGCAGACAAATCTGCACACACGTTTTCTGCTGCTAGAGAAAGAGAAGCCACTATCTGAAGAACAGCAAACTGGCTGGTGATGATGACACACAGGTTAAAGTCCTTGTGATTGTTAATCAATGGGGCAAAATTTAAAGATGAGCATTGAATTGGGAGCTGTGCTTGTGCTTCCAGCTCAATGTTCAGTAGAGCTTTTTCTTTTTCGCTCTTTTTACTGTGATTTATTGAAATGGTTACAGAAATCATTCAGATTTCTTGTTTGTTTTTTTTGAGTCGTTGGATGAAAACTGCACTTGTTGCACATTTCTTTCAACTTTCAGCTTTTTCATGTGTCTTCAGTGTGAAGTGGAAGAAAAATTACGAAGGTTTTCTAAACATTTTTACATGTAGAAATCTGAAAAATGCAGCATGTAATTTTATTCCGTCCCCTTTATTCTCATAACACAAAGTAAGCCTTTAATTGATTAACGGTTGGTAACTCTGGAGGAGCAGCAGAGATCCACAACTCAGGCAGGAGGATCTATTGTTTATTCTCCACAAATCTGGCACTTCTGGACCAACAACAACAAAAAAACAGCTATTGAAACAGAGGAATTCCCTTTGCACGTTGCTAAAAGCTGCATGTGACACAAAAAGCATGTGGAAGAAGGTTTTCTGGTCAGATGAGACCAAAGTTCTACAATCTGACTTGCACACAAAACGCCATGTAAAATGGAAATGTGGTGATTGCAGCATCACACAGTTTCACTTTCACACAGCAACAAATTCAACCCAAATCAGATTTTCTCATATATCAAACTTTTTTACATTAATCTGAACGGCCCAGTTCCGATCTTTTCACCCCACAGATAAATCAGATTTCGGGTGATTCTTCAATAGCTTTCTAAACGTCTGCCGTCACAGCGGTCATGTTACATTCACCATCTGCTTGGCCAGGCAGACGGCGCCACGTCATCGATGACATGCATCATAATTCTGCACCAGAAGAAGACGGAGACGGTAAATCCGGACATAAACAACGGCTAGTTATGATCTTGTGACAGCCAGCTCCCATTGCTCCGCAACTTTAAACTCGATCCATAAACGGCTCCGTCCATTATTACTTCGCTCTTCTTCTGGGGTCATAAACATTTCACACAGAAGTCTGTTTGCAGTTGCATTTAAATAGTAGTATGAATGACCACACAGAAAAAGTAATCAGCAAAAAATTGTAATTAAGCATCAAGACCTGCTGTGAGAACGTAGCCCAAGAAACGACGACCTGAGAGCAAAGCCGAGGCTCACGGCCCAGACTTGTAGCTGTGACTTTATAAAGTATTGCCTCAGGGGAACCCAGTACAAATGCATGCTGCACTTTTGAGATTTGTATTTGTTAAAAGTAAAAATGAAAAGCAGGTATCCTTTCTCTTCCACTTCAGATTGGCATGTCTTTCCAATCTGCTCGGATTTAGATGAATAAATTCCCGTTGATTGATTTTCTGTCTGCTGAGCAGAACTAACAGTGTGTAATATTTAGGGCAAGGCTCGTCCTTCATTCAAGTACGTTTTTTTTTTTTTGCCATATTTTTTGAAGGAATTTTCTTTTCATGCAGCAGAAATGGCAATTGGATTTCTGTGCAACACAACTGAAATCAATACTGAGCTGAAGTTGATGTGGTAAAATGCAGTAGATGACATCAAAGTTTTGACATATAAAGCTCTGGAAAAAATTAAGAGTAAAATGATCAATCTCTCTGATTTTACTCTTTATAGGAATATGCTTGAGTAAAATGAACATCACTGCCTCTGAAATTCACAGCAAACATGTTGTATTTATTTGCAGAAAACGAGAAATAGTCAAAAATAATGAAAAAAGATGCAGTGATTTCAGACCTCAAATAATGCAAAGAAAACAAGTTGATGTTAATTTAGGAACTTCAATAGTGATGCTTTTACTCAGGAAGAGTTCAGAAATCAGTGAACCAGGAGGTTTTCAATGCGCTTCAGTGCAGTGGAGTCTTCATTTCCTCCAGAGATGAACTTCCGGGTTAAAATATGTTCTCAAATTTGTGATTTGGGGTGAAAATAATTGGAGTAGACTCAGCATGTCTATTGTTCTGGTCTCCAAATCCACAGGTTCTTTTCACTTGGTCTACTTTCCCACTTTTAAAAGCCTGCCTTTGAAAGAGCTCTTTATAAAGAACATATAATCACCACTCTGAATAGCTGCTCTGGCTGAGACTTGATAGGGAGGATTAAATGCTTCGCTACCAGTTCTGAGTCTGGGCTGCTGCCCACATCTGATTTATGCTGGAAATCACGTTCAGGTGAGAGTAAAACTGTTTTTGAATTAAGAGACTTCATTAAAAACCACAACAGCAATCATTAAACATTAACCTCTGCACACACACTTTGCAACACAACAAACACTGCCTTCACCCTTCTGTCCCCACAATGTGCTGCATGCATAATTCCTGGATAAGCTGGAGTGATGATGCTGTTCTGATGCTCAAAGTGCAGTCGCGAGTTTTGGTTCAGAATTATATTAAATTGAAGGCATGTTCGTAATCGGGTATTTTTAGTGCAGCTCTGTAATGAGAGGGTTGATGCCTGGAGAGGTGAACACCTGCTTATTAGGCTGAGCTTTAAATCTCTATCTAAGTTGGATCAGTTCAAAAAGTAAAACTTAAAAATGACAGAAAGCTTACCCAGATAGCACATGATGTTAAATCAACGTTGAAAAATAGTTAGAATCGTTGATTTTTGGTTGAAGT